TATATATTGTAATTGGATTGTAGTTTAGATGCACACATGTTTTAACTTGTCTGTTACTTTCAGTGAGGATGACAAGGTTCGAGTAGCACAAGGCGTATCTGGTAGCGTTGTCGACAAAGGTTCAGTGCATCGATATGTCCCGTATTTGATCACAGGCATCAAATATGGTTGCCAGGATATTGGAGTTAGAAATCTTACAAACTTGAGGTATGGAGAACACAATTACTAAGATAATAAAGTCTGTATGCACTCTAGTAAAACCTTTTTTTTTTTTACTACTTATAGAGCTGTATTGTAATTTTCGGTCATTTGTTTCAATATAAAGTTGTTATGATTCACTTTAATGAACTTGACCATTTTTCTTATAGATTCAAATTCTCCTCAGATAATCATTTTTTTTTTTGGAAAACTACATTTATCCTCTCATGGCTTGATATTATTTTTCTTTCAAATCCATGGTATACTCTCTTTCATTTTTAGATCCATAGTATATTGTAATAAATTGTTCATTTAGTGTTTAGACATTCATGTTTTTAGATCCATAGTATATTGTAATAAATTGTTCATTTAGTGTTTAGACATCCATGTTTTTCTCTGTTCGGCTTTTTCTGATTTGTTTACCTAGCTATAATTTACTGTAGTGGGCTACTTCTATTTTATTTACCTAGCTACAATATGCTTTTGTGGGCTGTTTGTATTTTGTAAATCTAGCTGTGGCTAACTCCATTGGGCTTTTTTGTTTTGTTAAGCTAGCTAGCTGTTGGTCACTCTAGTGAGCTGTTTCAATTTGTTTTCCTAGCTATAATTCACTAGCTTGCCATCTATGTTTTCATTTTACAAGCAATTTAAATTAAACATTTTTATTTTGTTATAGACCTAAATTGATGTAGTTTAGTTTTTTATGTTGTTTTCAATATAGAAAACCCTTTTCATATTGTTTACAGAGCTCTGATGTACTCAGGTGAACTTAGATTTGAAAAAAGAACACCTTCTGCTCAGATAGAAGGAGGAGTACATGGTCTACATTCGTAAGTTATTAACTAATGGTTATCCTTTACAGTGTTTCAATCAGAGGGAATAGTATAACTGGGTTTGTTTGTTTTATTCAAAATATTATGAGTTTTCAAAATATACACTACAGATATTTTGATTAGATATCGAAATTGTGATGAATAAATGTACAAATAATCCAAATTGTAACTAGTTCAGCCCTGTACACACTTCATATGTTTAAAGTTGTATTTTCAATTGTTGTTTATATATGTGATCTGGTATATTTTGTTTAGAAAATGATTGATCTTGTAGGTTTGAAAAGAAGCTGTTTTGAAGATCTTGCAATAAATTAAAAGGAAAAGGAGTCACTACCTCTCCAGGGTTTTTTCTGTCCAATATCAAGGAGTTACAACCTTTACAGACATTTTTTCTGTCCAATGTTAAGAGGCCATCTTGATAATGTTGCATTAATATTAAAATGGAAAGGAGTTACTACCTTTACAGGCATTTTCTGCCCAATACTAAGGGGCCAACTTCACTATGTTATTCCATGTATGCAGACAAGGAATAAATAGTTGTAGTAAGTTAGATTTTGTGTATTTTTTTATGTTTAGAACAAATATAAAAGCAGCCAAAAATTTGGAGGGTGATTTATTGCCCTGTTTGTAAACTGGTCAGTGTGTAATCTATTTTGTTGTTTGTGTTATTCTTTCAAACAGAAGTAGTAAAATAAATTGCATAGTATATTTTGTCTGTTATGAATTCTTTTTGTAACAACAAAACTGGCTTTTAGTATTAAAATGGTTTATGTAATTTATTCTGTTTGTTGTGCATTATTCTTCATACAAACAAACATGACTAGAACTAATAATTGGTTAATATTGTGTAATCTGTTTGTTGTGCATTATTCTTCGTACAAACAAACATGGCTAGAACTAATAATTGGTTAATGTTGTGTAATCTGTTTGTTGTGCATTATTCTTCGTACAAACAAACATGACTAGAACTTATAATTGGTTAATATTGTGTAATCTGTTTGTTGTGCATTATTCTTCCTACAAACAAACATGGCTAGAACTAATAATTGGTTAATATTGTGTAATCTGTTTGTTGTGCATTATTCTTCGTACAAACAAACATGACTAGAACTAATAATTGGTTAATATATTGTAATCTGTTTGTTGTGCATTATTCTTCGTACAAACAAACATGACTAGAACTAATAATTGGTTAATATATTGTAATCTGTTTGTTGTGCATTATTCTTCGTACAAAC